TCGTGGCCCCGTAGGGGCTCCACCGAGGCCTCGCGGCAAGGGCTCGCATGCAGTTCCACCCTCATCTCGGCGCACCCCTCACACGGTTCGTGGCCCCGTAGGGGGCTCCACCGAAGGCCTCAGTGGCAGGGTTCGCATGCAGTTCCACCCTCACCTCGGCGCACCCCTCACACGGTTCGTGGCCCCGCAGGGGGCTCCACCGAAGGCCCCAGTGGCAGGATTCGCATGCAGTTCCACCCTCATCTCGGCGCACCCCTCACACGGTTCGTGGCCCCATAGGGGGCTCCATCGAAGGCCTCAGTGGCAGGGTTCGCATGCAGTTCCACCCTCATCTCGGCGCACCCCTCACACGGTTCGTGGCGCCGTAGGGGGCTCCACCGAATGCCCCAGCGGCAGGGTTCGCATGCAGTTCCACCCTCATCTCGGCGCACCCCTCACACGGTTCGTGGCCCCGTAGGGGGCTCCACCGAAGGCCCCAGCGGCAGGGTTCGCATGCAATTCCACCCTCATCTCGGCGCACCCCTCACACGGTTCGTGGCCCCGTAGGGGGCTCCACCGAAGGCCTCAGTGGCAGGGTTCGCGGTCAGTCCACCTCATCTCGGCGCACCCCTCACACGGTTCGGGCCCCGCAGGGGGCTCCAGCAGAAGGCCCCTAGTGGACAGGGTGTGCGCATTGCAGTTCCACCCCTATCTCGGCCGCACCCTCACACGGTTCGTGGCCCCATAGGCGTCTCCACCGAAGGCCCCAGTAGCAGGGCTCGCATGCAGTTCCACCCTCATCTCGGCGCACCCCTCACACGGTTCGTGGCCCCATAGGCGGCTCCACCGAAGGCCTCAGTGGCAGGGTTCGCGTGCAGTTCCACCATCATCTCGGCGCACCCCTCACACGGTTCGTGGCCCCGTACGGGGCTCCACCGAAGGCCTCAGCGGCAGGGCTCGCATGCAGTTCCACCCTCATCTCGGCGCACCCCTCACACGGTTCGTGGCCCCATAGGCGGCTCCACCGAAGGCCCCCGTGGCAGGGTTCGCATGCAGTTTCCACTTTCGGATCTCGGCGCATCCCCTCACACGGTTCGTGGCCCCGCAGGGCTCCCCGAAGGCCCCAGTGGCAGGGTTCGCATGCAGTTCCACCCTCATCTCGGCGCACCCCTCACACGGTTCGTGGCCCCATAGGGGGCTCCACCGAAGGCCTCAGTGGCAGGGCTCGCATGCAGTTCCACCCTCATCTCGGCGCACCCCTCACACGGTTCGTGGCCCCATAGGCGGCTCCACCGAAGGCCCCAGTGGCAGGGTTCGCATGCAGTTCCACCCTCATCTCGGCGCACCCCTCACACGGTTCGTGGCCCCGCAGGGGGCTCCACCGAAGGCCCCAGTGGCAGGGTCCGCATGCAGTTCCACCCTCATCTCGGTGCACCCCTCACACGGTTCGTGGCCCCATAGGGGGCTCCACCGAAGGCCTCAGTGGCAAGGTTCGCATGCAGTTCCACCCTCATCTCGGCGCACCCCTCACACGGTTCGTGGCCCCGTAGGGGGCTCCACCGAAGGCCCCAGCGGCAGGCTTCGCATGCAGTTCCACCCTCATCTCGGCGCACCCCTCACACGGTTCGTGGCCCCGTAGGGGGCTCCACCGAAGGCCCCAGTGGCAGGGTTCGCATGCAGTTCCACCCTCATCTCGGCGCACCCCTCACACGGTTCGTGGCCCCGCAAGGGGGCTCCACCGAAGCTCACACGGTTCGTGGCCCCATAGGCGGCTCCACCGGAGGCCCCAGTGGCAAGGTTCGCATGCAGTTCCACCCTCATCTCGGCGCACCCCTCACACGGTTCGTCACACGGTTCGTGGCCCCATAGGAGCTCCACCGAAGGCCCCAGTGGCAGGGTTCGCATGCAGTTCCACCGGGCGCACCCCTCACACGGTTCGTGGCCCCATAGGCGGTTCCACCGAAGGCCCCAGTGGCAGGGTTCGCATGCAGTTCCACCCTCATCTCGGCGCACCCCTCACACGGTTCGTGGCCCCATAGGCGGCTCCACCGAAGGCCCCAGTGGCAGGGTTCGCATGCAGCCATAGCGAACTCAACCGACGGCTCCATTGGCAGGGTTCGCATGCAGTTCCACCCTCATCTCGGCGCACCCCTCACACGGGTCGTGGCCCCATGGGGGGCTCCACCGAATGCCTCATTGGCAGGGTTTGCATGCTGTTCCACCCTCATCTCGGCGCACCCCTCACACGGTTCGTGGCCCCATAGGGAGCCCCACCGAATTCATGGCACCACCGCGCCCAATTCGGTACACCACCTCACACGTCTCGTGGCCCCAGACAGAGGATACTCCACCGAAGGCTCCAATGGGAGGGTTCACATGGCACCACCGCGCCCAATTCGGCACGCCCCTCACACGGGTCGCAGCCCCATAAGGAGCTCCACCGAAACCGGCACCCACAATGCGGTCCTCGCAGCTGCATGTGGTCGGGTGTTTCGTCAGGCTAACCTTTTCTGGCATGAGGGGCAAGGACTGGATCAGGGTATGGCGGCGCGCAGAGGGCGGCAGAGGGAGGAGTAAGGCTTCTTAGAAAGAGGCCGCTTCTTCGAAGGCGCCGGCCCTACATCTACAAGCAAGGCCCGCGCCTTCTAAGAAGCAGTGGTGTTTCGAAAAAGCTCCCCCCCTTCCCCCTGCCCCCTTCTGCGTGTGGCCGAGAGGGGAAACGTCGGGCTGGAATCGACGACACAGCGCCGACCGACAGATCGGCGACAAGCTCTCGATGGCGAGACCGAGCGCTCCTGGGCGGGGCGGGCAATTGGGCCTCCGATCGGCGACGAGCGGACGATGGGCCCCCCTTGGCCTACCCGTCTCTAACGTTGCCCCTGGTAAGAGGAGGAGGAGGAGGAGGAGGAGGAGGAGGAGGAGGAGGAGGAGGAGGAGGAGGAGGCGGAGAAGGAGGAGGAGGAGGAGGAGGAGGAGAAGGAGGAGGAGGAGGAGGAGGAGGAGGGTGGTCGGAGCGCAACGATTTGACAAACGACCCACCAGTCAGCCTGAAGACGCGTGGCGCGGATCAGGGTCAGGACGGTATGAACCAAGCTCGCTCTGCGAGTGCACGCCGTTGTCACGCGCATCCATCCCGGTGCACAACGAGCCCCGCGCTTCTGTCAAAAAGCGCGCGCACCAGCGCTGCGTACCCAGCCCAAGTCAGGTTATCCAGGGGGGGGCTATTTTTCCAGACGCCCACACAATAATTTATTTGTCTTGCTCCGCGTGAGGCTTGTCGCTAAACTGCCTGTACTGCTCTAAGGTGTCTGGCCCGCGAAATGAGCTCTTGGCTGTGACTTGGGCGCATTCCGCTATCCTTCCCCACCCCCTGTCCTTTCCTCCTATCTTCGCGTTATGCCCCTGCTCCTCTTCCCTCCCTCTTCTACTGTTGTGTTGGATGTTTTGCAGCGGTCGTTTGTGCGAGGCCCGAACACATACACCACCACCAGGCGGCCGTAGGAAAGGCACAAATCTTGCACGCGACCGCCCTGACAGGGGTGCCACTGCATGCCCCCGCCAAGCGCAACTACTCGCCACGTGGTCATGCGCGCAGATGGCGGCCGCATTCGGTCGCGAATAATTGCTCCCAAGCACCCTATGGCAGCGCGGTGGTGTTGCACAAAAACGATGGACCCCCAGTAATTTTATACACCACCCCGAAATATACACCACGTGAATGTGTTGTGTTTTGCGCATGCAGCCGCGTGCCCAAATGACGCTGCACACGCGACATGTCATTACCGCGAGATTCGACGCACCCTGCAACCCACCACCGACAGAAAACCAGCCCGCGGTGGTGATGTATATGCGTGGGTCCCCGAGTTTGGGCCCTGCGGTGGGGGTTCTAACACAATGTGCAACCACGGCCCGATACAGGATGTGGGCAAGATCGTATCCGTCGCCGCTTGATTTTCTCTTGCGTTCCTTCCTTCCTCCTCCTTCTCCCCTTCTGGCCCGAGACGTCGGCCCGAGTTTCGGCCACGTTCGCCGGACAGCGTCTCTCGCCGCTGACTGCCCGCCGGGTCAGTTTCGCAACTCGGCCTGGGTCAGGGACATTTGTCCGCAGGTCCTTGCTGCATGAAGGGGGGAACGGGCAAGCTCGATAAGCCTGGTTTACTGCTGGATCCAACAACAAAAATACACGGCATCTTGTCTTGTGAAGGCGCCCACGCCGAGGTCCAGAATCGGTCGAACGCCTCCGCTGACGATCTGACGCCGTCTGATACTCAAGGGCACCTAAGTTCGCGCTGCGTGCTGCGGAAGAAAGTGTGAATAACTTCGTGCCATCGCGCCACTCCAAGGGGAGGAGGAGCTAGAGGCTAGAGGGACAAAGAACTGCATAAACAACACTTCTGGAGCTCTGCGCGGGTTTCTCGGGTCGGCGCTGAGCCCCCAGGGCGGCGCATCCAGCACCGCTACTGGCGCGCTCCGCGAGCCGGGGAGGGGGGTCCAGCACCGATCCAAGAAATCCGCGCGGACCCCCGACAGTTGATGTTAATGCAATTTTTTGTTTTCCCAGAACCATGATGGGGCGAACCGAACTGCGAACCGCGAAGCGCGAACAGCTCTGCGCCCTCGTGGGCGCCCTTGCTGACAGGGCCCGCAAAACGATCACACCGTCGCGCTGGCCGCCTGGTGCCCGCGGCAACGTTCACTGGGCGGCCTGCGTCCCAGAAAGAGAGAATAGCCGCCACGCGGCAGCAGGATCCTCCCTGGAGGCAACTGAGGCCGGCCCTGCGCACCTCAGGAGGCGACAGCCCCAAGCAATGCACCTCTGTGGCAAAAAAACAGCATCTTTCTGTGATCGAAGAATCGCCTCTCAACATTATTAGCATGACAGAAGGCTGGCGGCGTCCAACAAAATTGAACATCGCCCCCTTCTGGTTTTGAACTTTGCGCGAGTTCAAGACGGGGCCGGAAACAAGTCCGCGCCAAATCGAATGAATCATCGCACGCGATGCGCTTCGACGCTGGGTAGATACTACTCCGCCTGCCCCTCGGGATCGCAGTCATTGCGGGATCGGAATGGTGAGCATTCTCGTCAAGGCGATGGAGCATAAGGCTGAGGGCAACGTCTCTTCGAGGCAGTGCCTGCTCATACTGTCGAGAGCCAGGCTCGGGAGCCGCAGAAGGCAGAGAGGCGAACACGACTGCAGGAGTCTGGTTCCCGTCGTGGCGACCGGCAAGTGGGGTCGCGCCCGCGACGGGGGCCGTGTTACGACAGGCGCCCGGGAGACGGAACCTGACGCCCCCCTCTCATCCTCTTGTTCCTCCTCCTTCATGGCCGCACGCAGGGAGTCGGCCCTGGGCAGGAGTGGCCTTTGGTGCGCGGCTTGCCGATCGCCGCACGCGGTGCGGCAGTGCTAGCATGCGCGCTCGGGCTTGGCCCCCCAGCGGCCCCCGAAAGCCGCACGCAAGAGGTCACCCAGGCGAAAGGTCACCCTTAGGCGTAGCCGACCCTCTGGCGTGCCAGACGTTCTCCGAAGAGGCACCTGGGCCTCGGAGCCCGACCGCCGCCCGTCTGCGGCTCTCCTCCCGACCGCCCCTTGGCCCACGAGCGGACAAGCGGGCCACAGCGCGCGCTGCTGACACGTTGGGGTGAGGGGGAGGCAGTGGAGGAGACGACGACAACAACGACGATGACCATCTTGCGAACATGTGATCCCACAAGTCGCTCTGCCCTTCGGTTGTTTCTACCTCTCCTTTGAACCCGCCCACTACGTCTATGAACTAAGCCCTTTTTTGTTTTTGGGGGGAAGCTTCCTTTCATACTAGCTCCTGGGAGAAGCGTCCAGCAGTGCACTCCGTATGCGCACCATGCCGCCATGGCCGCCATGCCAGCTACAGTCCTCGCGGTACCATGATGCACGATGAACAAGGAACGAGGGGGCTTGTCTGTCTATGGCGAACCTCGGCAACGAAACGGTTCCCCGACCTGCCCGAAAACCAAAGCCCCTCATGAATCCGAGAGCGCCCTGAGTCCTGACTTCCGCGTCGTGACTGTAACGCACCCGCTGGCAATGCACACACACATCTCCGCACATTTCGAGGACGTCTCGGACGAGAGCCTTGTGGTCTGAGTCTGGGGGGGGCTGTCCGGCCAAGGCGTCCCGGAGTAAGTCGTGAGGACTGACTACCTATGAAGGGACTCCTAGCCCTTTGGGAGCGGACCTGAGCTAAGAGGCCCCGCACATTATGGACAGAGGGCCTTTCCAGCAGATGTGCCAAACCAAACCACCCGTATTGATGATCGCCAAGGCAAAGACGGGGACCTAGGTTAGGCTACGTCTTCATTGAATTATTCTGGTGAGGGGTTCTTGAGTACTCGATGAAGGAAGTGTCAAGCGGGAGCCGTTGTCGGCGCAGATGGGCCTTCAAAACCTTGGCCGAATTGCGAAGATGTGTCGGCCGAGAGCGCCGTTCCTGAGGTTGAGGGCCTCTCTGGCCAGGGCGTCTCGGAGTAAACTGTGGGGAAGTATCCAGCGGGAGCCGTTGTCGTCGTGGTTGGACCTTCAAGGGCCCACGTTTGGAACCAAGCCCGCGTTCAAGCGGGAGCCTCAGATTCAAGGAACATGCGACTGCCGTCATGGCGAGAGCGCCCGCAACCGCTTCCACTCATATATTACACATCATCTTTGTATGAGAAGTACAGCGCAACTACTAGACGACGACAACGACCAGAGGGGGATGGAAGCGCGAGGGGGAAGGCCTGGAGCATCGCGTCGACCACGTCAGAAACAGTCACAACGGACTCCTGGGATATCTGCCAGCAGCCGCCTGGCCAGTCCCCTCGCCCCCTCGCCACCATCTTGTTGGGACAAGGGGGCCATGGCAACGACGATGATCGGGAGGAGCAACAAGGAAGGCCCAATTTTGCCTGGCCCCCTCGCGGCCTCATCATCCACTTTTCCCCAGCCCCCCCGCGTACTCTCGCTTTACCCTCTCGCCCTCTTGCCGTTCGCTGAGGCAGGTTCGTGCCGTGACGAGGTGTGCGTTGGCTTCTGACATCACTTGGATTGCCCAACCTTGAACGATCGCGGCATTCCGATACCGCCGAACGTTCGATATCGGCCGATTTGGGGCCACCGTCGGCGTTCGACCTTGAACGCGCCGGCTATGGTTGCCGCCGCGTCAACACGGCGCGAACCTGCCTGCCGCTCTCGCTGCGCCCTCCCCACCTTGCCGCCGCTCCCCGCCCGTCGTCTGACCGCACAATCTCCCCCTCCGCGAGGGAGGTGGTCGGGCCATGCATCTGCAGTCGGCCGCCGCTGCGCAGACCCGGAGGGCGGCCCGAGCTCTGTGATGCCGGAGCGACGCCCAGGACTGGGCGGGCGACTGCCTACTGGTGCGGGGGGCGAGGGCGGCTGGCGTAGAGGCAGCGATCCCTGGAGGAGATGAGCCCCTTCGTCGCTTTCGGATCCCGCCCGAGCGGCGATCATATGCGTATCCGCGCCCTCGCGTTCTTGATTCCGGGGGCCCGAGCCCACGGATACGCGGTCGCACGGATACGATCCGCGCGGGGCAGCCGCAACCAAGCGCCCCCGTATCCGCGGGTTCACGGCCTAGGGGCCCAGCCCGCGAGGCCGCGGGTAAGTGGGAGGAGGAGGAGGAGGAGGAGGAGGAGGAGGAGGAGGAGGAATAGGAGAACGAGGAGGAGGAGGAGGAGGAGGAGGAGGAGGAGGAGAGGACGAGAGGAGGAGGAAGGAGGAGAGGAGGAGGAGGAGGAGGAGCTGCGGCAGCTGGAGGAGGAGGAGGAGGAGGAGGAGGAGGAATAAGGATGAGGATGAGGAGGAGGAGGAGGAGGAGGAGGAGGAGGAGGAGGATGAGGAGGTTCGATGAGGTTCGAGGAGGAGGAGTAGGAGGAGGAGGAGGAGGAGGAGGAGGAGGACGACGACGACAATCGAGGAGGAGGATCGAGGCGAGGTCCTTCCACGGGCCCCAGTGGCAGCCCAAGAAACTTCTCGGGATGAGGAGCTGGTCCTGGGGATAGCCCCCAGCTGGTCCTGGATGCCCGCTCCACTCGGGAGCCCCATCTGCTCCTGCGCGGCGAAGGAGAGCTGCCTGGCAGCATTCCTCCCCCTCCTCTGGATCGACTCGAGGCTCGGGCCTCGACATCGACTCGAGGATCGGACATCGGGCCTCTGGATCGACTCGAGGCTCTGACATCGGGCATTCGTTCGGAGAGCGAGAGCAACACGTATCCATGTCGCGCAGGTCGGACGACCCTGTCGGCGCGTTCCTGCCGAAGGAGCACCAGGTCATCGTGCAAAAAGCAATCGCGTGACGCTCCCTGTTTGAAAGACGACAAGTGTCAGAGGTACTCCTGATCCCTCCGGAAATCCTCGAGGCTCGGACGCCAAGCATCCTGGCAACCTCTGAGTCTCTTTCTGGGGCCTCCGCCGAGGAGAGACAGGGCCCACCGCCACTGAGAACCCACCGGGGGGAGACCCACCCCTGGGCGATAGCACGCCCCAGCTTCACCTAGTACAGGGCGACGCTCAGGCGTGCCACCACCCACGGGTACCCACGATGGGTTCTCGGTGGCGATGGTGCATCTTTCTCCTCTGGCCTGACGGGTACATCGAAATCCCTTGCACCGCAGTGGCTGCAGAGGGACCCTCCTGGGGCAGTCCTGGGCCACCTTGGGAAATTTGTGGAGCCCTCTTGGAGCCATGCTGGGCTCTCTTGCTCTTCCCAGGCCATCGCAGAACAATATCGGATCGAGGATAGTGAAATCCCAACCATATTGTCAAACTCGTGTAATCCTCCCCCTTCGCCCCCCTCCGTCTCCCCAACTCTCCAGCTCCTCCTTCTCTCCTGGCCTCCCTCCCCCCCTGCTCCTCTTCGGGCACCCCCTCCCGCTCCCTGCCCCTCCAGAGATTGTGACAGTCTTTCCATCTCGCCAAGGCGGACCGTGCCACACCAGGTGCTTCGAAGCCTCGGCAACACACCTTCCTTACCCGCGCAACGCTTTCGCCTTCTCCCGCTAACGCTCTCTCTCTCTCTCTCTCTCTCGCTCCCGGTCTCCCTCTATCTCTCTCTCTCTCTCTCTCGCTCTCTCCTTCTGCCTTTCACGTTCGAACCCCTTTTCCCTGACGCGTAATCCTTTCATAATGCTCATCACAGTATCATTTTTGTGGCTCTTCCTCTCATACACATTCTGAAATATTCAGCTCGCCCTTCCTCCTGACTCCTTGCTTCATTCGCCTTCTCCCAGCCCAATACACATCCCTACCACTCTCAGCCCCCTTTCTGCAACTCGTGACAGCTGTGACGAAATCTGCAATCGCACATTAGAAGAAGATGAGGCGAGTAAGGCAGAGGCCGTAAGACAAGCGCCAATGGCTGCGCGAATGAAGCCCGGACCTCTGCTGGGTTCCGCTCGGGAGGTCCCCATCCGCGGGACGTAACCAGACGAAAAACAAACACCGCATCAACATAAACTTTCGGAGCGCCGCACGGACTTCTTGGGGCGGCGCTGTACTCCCCACCCACCCTTGGCGACTGAGGCGCCGCCAGAAGGGCCCATCGACGATTCAGAACTTCGCGAGGAGCTCCGAAGAGTGATGGTTACGCCGTTCCTTCTCTTCTACAGACAAACGTACATATACCACTCCCCTGACCTCTCCAGGAGTCTGTTCTGACCAGGATCTCGAGGCAAACCAAGCCGTGGCGGCGAGGGTTCCCCAAAAGGCCCCCCAAAGGCAGTTTTTGTTTGTGTCAATGTCTGCTTTCTTGTTTGCCGTTTTTGGTTTACGCCACTATCTCTATTTCGAGAAGCGCCACGTCGAGCCTTGGCAGCCCCCCACTTGGTCGGGCCGGGCCGGGCCGCCGCGGCACATTCGGCAAGGACGGCGGCACACACGAGCAGCACCTCGTTGGCGAACGGCCGAAGTGTTGTGCGGCCCGTTCGCAGCTTGCCGCGGGGTAGGATGTTGCAAATTTTAAACAAGTCTGCCCCTCAGAAGGCGGCAACTGCTACTCCGAGCGAACACCGGAACATAGGGGCGGGCGCGCCAGAGCGTGTTTTGTTAATTCAGATTATGGCAAGTCAACCTGCGTGGCTTTCACCTTCCTCCGCCGCCATGTCCCGACTTGCTTGAAGTCCAAATCTCCTTTCGGGCCTCGCCACGCCCCCCCACTCTATGCAAGTAGACTTGCCAGAGTCTGAGGAACAACTGCCTACAGCGGACATTAACTATTCATCTCCCTCACCTTGCGCTACTGGGAACTATTGCTCGCTACTTTGTGCAATGTGTGCACTCGTGGGCGCTACTGGGTGCTGTTCGCCGATGCACTACCAATCCGAGACGAGCGGGAATCTCCACGATTTGCTATCTGCGCCCATCTGCTGAGAGCTGCCCTGGCTCAGCGGCTCCTCTCGGAAGAGCCGCGGCTGCCCGGCCGGGCCCCATGCAGGCCTCGCCCCCCTGCTCGTGGTCCCGGGGGGCAGTCGGCTGGCCGCCACCAGCCCGCTACTCCCAGGATAGCTCCTGGAGGGCGCTCTGACCAGGGTCTCGAGGCGAGCCCAACGGTGGCGGCGAGGGCCTCCCAGGAGGCCCAACATGGCGAAAACGAGGCGAGGGGCCTTGTCCTCTTCTGAGGACAGGCCCCCGACTGGCCGACTTGCAAGGAGTTCGGGCAACCGCGACCAGATCCGTCAGCGACGACGACTGGTGTCCGACAACTAACGAAGACCACGGACGCGACGACGAGGGCAGCCCTGAGATCCTCGCGGCCCAATGTTTTCGAGCAAGGCATTTTCGCCCCATTCAGGGCCCAGGGACCCTCACAGATAGATCAGACTCGTAAAAGCAGAAAGATGGGGTCTGGGGCTCTGGTCGTGACTTCTCACGATGCTGCATTTCTGTCGGATCGCAGGAAAGGCCGAGCTCGGGGCCGGCAAGCCGCGGGCGCGAGATTGGCTTCCAGGCGGCAGAAAGCTCGTAGGGAATGCGGGCTCGGCCATCCCCCTGCCCTGGTCCGACTGGTTCCCAAGCAGTTCGCCAATTTGCAGCGGGAAGGAGCCTTGCCGAGCATCTGGTGTTCATACGCCTTCGCGCCGAGACCATCGACTTCGGATTTCGAAGAACATGTGCTGAACATGTCCTGAACTATCCCGAATGGCAGACTGGTGCCATCCCGAATCTAAGAATGTGCTCATCAATCGATGTGGGATGAGTAGCTGGAGCGAGTCCGACTCACATCCGCCACCGTGCCGCGAGGCATCGAATCGAGTGTCCACAGGTCTCTTCGAACTCTTCATTAAGTATTGCAAACAGACTTGAAGCGGCCCGGGCCAAGAGTTCCCGGCGCCCTTGGGCGCTTCTGGGCACTCCTGGGGCGTGGCGTGGATGGGCCCGCACATGTCTGGCATGTCCTCAGACGGCTCCAAAGTGCGTCTTGAAGGCTCTGCGAGCCGGGCCAAGAGGCCGAAACCATTGAACAGCTTAGGGCTTTCGTGTGATTTTCCCACGCTCGCCTCTTCGGGCGTAAGGGCCACCAAGAGGCCCCCAGGAGGGGCCCGAGGCCCCAAGAGGTACCGCGAGAGAGACTCCAAGAGGCATCCAAAAGAGGGCTGTAGCCGAAAGCTCAAGCAGGGTGGCGGGATAGGCCGAAATCATCGTGGTAGCATCCGCCGCCCCCCGTTACTTGCAAACTGTCTTGACTGCTTCGTTGAATCCTGCCAACAGGTTCTCAATGGGTCGCAGCCGATCCAGCTGGCCATCCGGAAACACCTGGGTGGACCATAACATGAGTAAAACGCGCTTCTGAGACGGCGAAGATGACCAAAGATGGCCTCCCAGACGGCCAAGATGGCCTCAAGAGAGCCCGAGATAACCTCAAGACGACACCAAGACGGCCCCAGATGAACCCAAGACGGCCCGAGAGGCCCCACAGACGCCCCAAGAGGGCTTCACGATGACATCAAGAAGACCAAGACCAGTCCGAAAATCAAAAATGGTGTTTCCTGTGTTCTCAGGACGCCCCCGCGCAAGCAAACTCCCTCACCCGTACACCTCACCATGACCATGACCATGACCATCATCATAACCATGACCATGATCATGACCATCATTACCGTCATCATCACCACCAGCATCATCAACATCAGCGCCACCACCCCATCATAACCATCACCATCACCACCACCACCACAATTGTCACCATCACCACCATCACCACCATCACCATCACCATGATCATCATCCTCACCATGATCACCACCCCACCCTTACCACGCACTCTTGCGCAATCTCGAGCGGACGCCTCGCCTGCGAGTGCATTGTGAGGCTTCGAGATTAAAGCCCCTCCGAATTGGGGCCATCGCTTCATGTTTCTAATCCGACGCGGCGATCGGGATACACATAACAATACAGGTTTTTCTCATACTTGAATATGGAAGAAGCCTCTAGCGGGAGCCTCGTTCCTGAGCAACTCGTGAAGATTTCTCGAGCGGGTGCCTCGTCTGAGAAAATGGCGAGGACGGCTTAAGCGGGAGCCCCCGACCTATAAGGCCCTTATTTCATTGTATAATCCGAGGAGGGCCACGGGGCTACACGCAACTATTCCGACGGTGGAACCCCACATGAAAATCGGTCTAGCTTGCCTGGAAATCTCTTCCTGCCCCCTCCTCCTAGCTCCTTTTCCTCCTATCTGTTTTGCCTTCTCCTTTTCCTCCTGCCTACTGCATGCTCCTCCTCCTGCCTCCTGCATCCACGCTCCTGCCTCCTCCTGCCTCCTGCCTCCTCATTTACCTCCTGACCCCTCTCCCTCCTCCTGCCTCCTTCTGACTCCTCCTGCCTCCTCCTCGTACCCCTCCTCCTGCATCATCCTGTTGCCTCCTCCTCTTCTTCCTCGTCCCACTCCTTCTCATGCATCCTCCTCCTCCTGCCTCCTCCTGCCTCCTCCCTCTCCTCCCCTACCCCCCCCTTCTAGCGCAACCCGGGGATTGGTGCCTCGTCCTGGGGCCTCCCAGTGCCACGGTCTCCCGGGGCCTCCCGGGGCCACCCTGGGGCCACTTCCCCGTGCTTCCTGACGCCTCCTAGGGGCCCCTTGTGGCCTTCCGAAATAATTGTCCGAGAGCTCTGAGCTCCTGCTTGAAACTTCTTCACCACTCACTCACAGGCGAGGCCGCTTCAGACATCCTCGCATCGCTTCAGGGGCGAATCTCCAGCTCGAGACTTCCTCGAGATTGATGCTGACAGGTGAGAAACAATACACGGTTTTGCGGGTATCACGACGGCCGCCTCGGATTCGTAACACTAGTAGATGGAGGCCCAGCAATGAGTGCCGTGAGGAGATTCCTGATTGAGACGTCCTCGCCATTCACTCACAGACGAAGCCCTCGCTCGGGACGTGCGTCTCCCTTCGTTTTCCTCACCATCACCAATATCACGACTGTAATCATCGTCACCAACACTACCGCCATCATCACCCGCATCTTCACCACAATCATCATCACCATGATCATCATCATCATCATCATCATCTTCATCATCATCATCATCATCATCATCATCATCATCATCATCATCACCATCGTCGTCGTCATCGTCATCGTCAGCATCATCATCATCATAATCATCGTCGTCCTCCTCCTCGTCCTCCTCGTCCCCGTCCTCGTCGCAATCATCATCACAATCATAATCCTCGTCGTCGCCATCATCGCCACACTCATCTCGCGCACTCTTATCTCATTCCCCCATCTCATACGCCAGTATCGAGGAATCTCCCAGCGGGAGCCTCGTCTGTGCGTGAATGGCGAGCAGGTCGAGCGGGGGGGACCCTCCCTCTGGGACCAGCGCGGTGTGCGCATCCTGGAGGTAATCAGATATGGGCAACCATAAAACATCTGACTCAAACACTACCCCTGTGAGCAGAAAACGGGTCTTCAAGAGGGCTTCGGGAGGAGGAGTGTCACCGACTCCAAATCCCGCGTGCCCCCAGCTTCCATCCCAAAAACATGATTCGAGGATTCATTTTTCGGCGGACTGCCACGCCTCCCAGACCCGAGATGCGCCTGGGACCCGCACGACCGCCGAAACGTCTGTTCCTGCTGCCCCGAATCACGCACTGATAAGTACAAATGAGCCGCGCACCTGGATGCAAGGCCATTTTCTTCCGACGAAACCCAGCAAAGCTTCTGTCGGCTTTGGAAGCCCAAGACACGCGAATCGGCCTCTATTGGAAACAATATACAGAGGGTCCTGCTTGCCTTCAGCTGTACGTGTGCAAGTTTCCCAGACTGGCAGTGCAAGGCCATTATCGGTCGAACGGCTGATGGTGCCGCAGAGAATTCCTGCAAATCTTCCGGTGAAAACCCACTTTGGGGAACTGTATGCATCAACCGCTTGAAAACGAAAGCTATGATTCCTATCGTTCTATGCCAAGCCGACTATCTGGACAACCATGGTTTAGGCCCGTGGGAGTTAGCCACGACTTGGCGTATGCGGGTAAATTGGTAATCGCAGGGGCCCAGATCCTGGCCCTTGCTGCTGGGAAGAAGCTGCCGCCCATCACCTCGCACATGGAGTGGCCAACGCGAGCCTCGAGCCCGAGCGGACGCTGGGCCCGCTTCGAACTGATCCCACATGGCAATGCACCGCAGGATCCTCCTCATCAAGCCGGCGTTCATGATCCTGTCGCGGCCAAATCTGGGAAACGCTGCCCTTCCCTCATGCCCTCCGCGCAAGCACGAATTCCCCAAGCGCCGATCGGTTGAGAACGTTCCAACTACCGCCGATTCCGGAGACCCTGAATCCAAAATGCCAATGTTTCATTGTTACTTCCGCCACCTTCTGCCGACTTTCCGTCAACTTTTGCCAGCGGAGCCGCCGCCGCTTTACTGCTGCCGGCGTCCGCCGAGGGCGAGGATGCGCCGAAGCCGAAGCCCTCCCTGGAACGCACCACATGACGTGCATGCATTGCCAACTCTGTCGTCGAACTTGAAGAGGACCGATGCGCAGCGGGCAACGCAAGCCCCAGGAGCTTCTGGCCTGCTTGCCCGATGTGCGGTGTCGACAGCCTGGCTGTCGCCGCCGCCCTGTGGCGAAGGCGACTGACACCTCCTGCATCCGCTGCGATCTCCCCTGTTATGATGCTGCAGGGCTCCGCCCTGAACCTTCGTCCCCTCCTCCCCCATCCGTCCTCACTCCCAAGTGGCTTCGAGGGGTGGCCATTTTTCGGGCCACTCGATCCTCTCAGCCTCCAGCCGTTGGCCCGGCACAGGCGGCAGTGTCGTCTCGTGATGGACGCGCTCGCCATGCGCCGCCCCCTCGGTGTGGCCTCGGCTGCTGCGCGTCGCCGCGCCCGCGCGCGCCGAGTCGCCGTGCGGCATGCACAGCGGCATGCGATGGCGGTGCAGGCGCTCTTGCGGCCACCGCAGCCTTGGCCCGTGGCGACCCTGTCCGCGGTGGACGAGGTGCATGCGGATCGCACAGGGAGGTGCGACCGTGCCTCATTTTGACCCTGCTGGCGCTAGAGTGGGTGAGCATCGTGGCGCTGCACCTCGTAGCCTCGGCTTGGAGGTGGTGAGCTTAATTCCGAGGTGGAGCTGCATCAACCTCGTCGGGGACCAGGCGATCATGCTGCTGCTAGCTGCTAGTTTCTGTGATCCTTGACTGGGGGTGTCGGCGACGCGTTCGGCGCCGCCCATAGCCCCGCCGCAGGCGACGCTGCTGGGGATTCGTGCGGATATTCAACCGGGGAGCGTGGAGGAGGTGCAAATCGGTTTGCAGGAAGCTGACCTCCAGCACGTGGAGCTCGCCAAGAATCTCCGCCAGGTGATCGTGCAGTAGCTTTCTGAACACGCACTGGGCAACATTGCGCCCGCGGGCGCCAGTCCTGCTCCTCATGATCGTGTCCCTCGGCATGCTGGGGATGACCCTGTTCATGATGCTCGCGTCCGTCGTGACACTAATGCTGCCGCCTCAGCTCATGGCCTTCCTCGTGCAGCGGCCCCTGTTCTGGGCCCTCTTGTCGCTGGCAGCCTCACTCGTGCACCTGGCACAAACGCTCCTGATCGTGGGCCTCCTCTGTGTGACCGTCGTGATACTAGTTGTCGTAAACTTCTGATTGTGCAGTCCACGGGCTGGCCACCATTCCAATGGGACGGCTTGCAATGGAAGTGAGGGCGCGTCAGTCGCGCTCCGGCAATTTTGTCAACTCTCCACCGTAAGCAATTACACACCGCAGCGAACGAACAACTGTTTCTCTTTTGCGTGACTGGTGGGTTCGGCAAGGGCCCATCCCAGGGCCTCGCACTGCGGGGCCCACCTCAGACGCAACGGTTGTGAAGACAAGATGCGAGGCTGAGATAGAGCAACAAATGTTTACCACGATTGCAGCGCAAGGCGGCATCGAGGCAGCCCGGCATCGTTTTGCCGAGGGTCGCCATGCCCAAAGGCTGTATTGAGGCAGGAAAAGACAAGAGGCGTAGAAGAGGAGGAGGAAACGCATAGAACGTAAGTGCGCATGGCCTCGCACACGTGCCAGAAGGCGTTCGGCCGCACTCTCCTTGCGGGAATTCGGGGCAGTTCGCCTGGGCTCAGGAGGCTCCTTGGGTTCTCTCTTTCTCGCGTGCTGCGCGTGCTGCCCAGAGATGTTGTTATAGAAGCGATCCGTTTCATCGCTGCCAAATTTGTATCCACCTCGGGGTATAATTTTTGCAGGTTGTCGATGCTACTCCACTCCTCGTTCCTGCCCGAGTGTCTCACCCCCACTTTCCCCTTTCCCCCCCTCGACTGTGAGCTCAAAGATGCTGGGATCGTGGCATGCCTTTTGCCCAAAGATGCGGACGCTGTTCTCCTCCTCCTCCTCCTCCTCCTCCTCCTCCTCCTCCTCCATTCCTTTTCCTTATACTTCTCTGTGTCGCACCCCGAGGCCAGGTTTCAAGGCGGTCCGGGCGTTTCGCCTGAGACCTCCTCACCATCATGACTCTGAAGCTTCAAATTGGCAACAGTTTCACAGATGGAGAGCGGGTAGTTTTCAAAATGTGGCTCTCGCCTTAGCGCGTCGCACATTCGCTTTCAAACATTTGCAAGAGTTTCACAGATGGAAGGCGGGTGGTTTTCAAAATGTGGCTCTCGCCTTAGCGCGGCACACTTATGTTTTTAACATTTACAAGAGCTTCACGGATTAAGGGCGGATGGTTTTCAAAATGTGGCTCTCGCCTTAGCGCGGCGCACACTCCTCTTACAAAAGTTTCACAGATTGAGAGCGGTTTCTTTTCAACATGTGGCTCTCGCCGTAGCGCCGCGCACATTCGTTTACCACATCTACTATATTACACATGTTATGTACCAGAAATGATGCCTTGAAAGGCTTGAGGATTATGCGGGTGCAACGGTTAAGTGGATTCGCTGCGCTGGAGTCCCAGGAATGGCGTTCTGGCACGATTCAGGGTCGCCAAGACGCAACAGTCAGGGTCATCTTTGGCGCTGGAATCCAGAGAACAATGTGTTGGCATGTTTTTGGATATTCAGGCGGTTGTCTTCGAACGAGGCAGTTCCTCCAATGGACATGAACCGTTGTAGGGGCCTATGAAGAGGGAGGTTGGAGGGAGGGTTTATTTCAACATCGTTGAGAACTCTTGGGTTTACACTGGTCCTCCTCCTCCTCCTCCTCCTCCTCCTCCTCCTCCTCCTCCTCCTCCTCCTCCTCTCTCCTCTGCCGTCCTTTTTTTTCGCGTGCTACGCGTGCGTGCCCAGGGATAGGGGTGCTGTTAAAGAAGCGGTCCCTGTTCATCGCCGCCAAACCTGTATCCAGCTATGGGATGTGATTTGTACAGGTTGTCAATACTACCCCAGTCCCCGTTCTTGGCACACTTTCCCCTTTTCCCCTCTCGGCTACGGGCTCGGATATGCTGGCATCTTGGCGCCTCTTGTGCCCAGGGGTATTGGATGACGGGAGACGGGAGTGCTTCGCTTTTACAAGGAGCTCAAATCTTGAGCCCCCTGGCCTGGGTCGCTGGTTGAGGCCTGGGTGGTTTTATCCGCCGGGCAGGGCGGGATACAATTATCCTGGCGATGGGCCCAACCACATGCAATTGTGAGCATCGTCGTTGGAGGTATCGCCTTCGGTGGATCTCCTCATGGGGCCATTGCCGAAATGGGGCGGGGACACAAGCAGGCGCAGCCACTGGGGTCTTCAGTGGAACTCCATATGGGGCAACGACACGTGGGAAGGGTGTGCCGACATGGAGCGGGGCCGCCATGCGTACGTCGCCATTGGGGCCTTCGGTGGAGCTCTCCATGTGGACACGAAACGCGTGATGGGTGTCCCGAAATTCTCGGGAGCTCCCTATGGGGCCACGAAACACGTGAGGGTTTTGCCGAAATGGGCGGGGGGGCGCAGGACGCATGTGATCACAACCACTGTGACCGTTGGTGGAGTTCCCTATGGGGCCACGAAACCTCGTGCTGGGCGGCGCGGGGCGCACGTGATCACATTCACTGGGGCCTTCGGTGAAGCTCCCTGCGGGGCCACGGAACGTCGCACTGGGTGGCGCGGGACGCATGCGATCACAGACAATGGGGCCTTCGGTGGAGCTCCCTATGGGGCCTTCGGTGGAGCCTCCTTATGAGGCCCGGAAACCTCGTGCTGGGTGGCGCGGGACGCATGTTATCACAACCACTCGGGTCTTCGGTGGAGCTCCCCATGGGGCCGCGAAGCGCCGCGCTGGGTGGCGCGGGGCGCATGTGATCACCGCCACTGGGGCCTTCGGTGGAGCCCCCTTATGAGGCCACGAAGCCTCGTGCTGGGTGGCGCGGGACGCATTTGATTACAGCCACTGGGGTCTTCGGTGGAATACCTTATGGGGCCACGGAACGCCGTACTGGGTGCGACGAAAAGGTGGACATGCAGAGGGCAGAGGCAAGAGTGTGAGGAGGGGGAGGAGGGAAGAGGAGAGGAGAGGAGAGGAGAGGAGAGGAGAGGAGAGGAGACAAGAGGGGAGAGGAGAGGAGGAGAGGGGAGGAGAGGAGAGGAGAGGAGAGGAGACGCGGGGCGCCGTCGTTTCACCGTCTCTTCAAAACGAGGACCCACCACCACAGGATGATTGGGAAATACTGCCCTTCCTGCTTTTGAGCTTTCAGTTCCACACTTGTGGCCTCCATGTCAGGGGGGGGCGGGGGCCAGACGGCGCTGCGAAGCTTGACGCTTCCTCCTGCCGAATCGATCAGATCCTTTCTCCCCCATCCTCCTCGGCCCCCCCCCATCCCCTCCCCTCCCCCCGCCCTCTCCAAATCCCCCTCCTCCCTCCCTCTCCTTCTCCCGCTCCCTTCCTGGCCCGTCCTTCCTCCCTCGCCCTCCATACTCAGGAGCACGCTTCATGGCAATGTCCCGCGCAGAACATATACAGACACGCACACCGCCTCCTCCACAGCCATTCCGATTCAAGCCCAAGACCCCCATGTGTGCAAGAACCGCCGCCCGCCTCGGTGGAGCGTAGGGGCCACGACGCCGCTCGGCTGAACACCGGCGCGAAAGCCAGACCTACTACCCCATCGCGACCAGCTGCATCGACAACTTCGGAACTCTGGAACCCAGTGACAGGTGGACGCAACATGAGCGGAGAAGGAGAAGAGGCAGGATGAGGAGGAAGGAGCAGGAAGCATGAGGATGAGGACGGAACGAGGAAGGAAGAGTGGGAGGGGTAGGAAGGAGGAGGTCCTCCTTCTGTTCCAGATCAGGAAGGAGGAATGCCAGCAAGTCACCAGTGACTTTGTCAAGAAATGTTGGATTGGCCAGGCGGGGTGTCCTTAGACCCCGGGCTTGATCGAGCACTGCAAGGGGCTCCCCCCCTGCCTACAGGGGGTCGGACGAGATGGGCAGCACTTGGCTGCAGCCCTGCTATTGTGATCAGTCGTTTCCTGGTCCCCACCTCTTTCCTCATCCTCCGAGCTTCTCCCACAGACGCTGGGCCCTCCTTGCAGCGCCCTTCGGGTCTAGCCTCCCAGATGGGCGCCAAAGCAAGATTTCTGCGCTGGCAACTGCAAAACCGTCTCGATTCTGAGACCTCCAATCCGGACATGCCTCCCTGTCACAGCTCGCGACGCCAGCCACCCCGGTGCCAACATCGGCTCAAGGTTGTCTCATCCCCTCCAGCTCCCTCCTCCTCGCGCCAGCGCGCTGCCTCCTTCGTGATGAATGACTATCTTGTCGTGGAATTTCGATTTTCGGTCAAACAAGTGTTGCTGTTGTCCCTGCTCGCCCTGTGCAATACAGCAGGCACATACGATAAAAGAAATCTCACTATGGGATGAATCGGGGCAAATCCTTCGTCGACCTTGAGCTTCGTAAGGTGCCTCAAGGCTTTGCGGTCCCATCGGGAGGTACGACCTTTCGTGGGGCACCCGCTGGCAGGCCAGCTTCTTGTTAGGCGTGCCTCTGAAAGTCCGAGGGGAACGCGTGCCTAACGCATCCGCCACTGCGCTCGCAGCGGTTGGTGTGCTATGGCCCGTGTCTGTCTCTGCCATTGGCGAGGCAATCAGTGAAGCCACCCGGCACATCAGGCCCAACACGCAGTCTCGACACAGGGACACACACACACATACACACTTCATGATGACACTGCGGCTGCCGTGAGGAGTAAGTAGAGTCTCAGTGGCAGAAGGATTCTCCCGACGGCTAACGACGAGCGGCACCCCTTCCATGCAGAGCTGCTGCTCGCAAAAGCTGGCCAGAACAACGGCAATATCGGTTGAGGGAGTTGGGTGACTGATTCTGGCACCGACTACCCACTGGTCGGAAGAGGTGGGTAGGCTCGTGAAGTACGAAAGCGATGAAAGCAGCTTGGATATCAGCTCGCCCTCTGAAGTCGAAGGCGCCTAAAGTAGATGGGGATCGGGGGATCCCCGAATACTTACCTTCGGCGATCGATGTGTACCCTGCGAACGAGGAACGCATGGAAGTGCTTCAAGACAGGCCCTCGCCCTGACCGTAGATAAGCATATGGACGCTGTCACCGACGATTACGAACACCTAGCCCTCTCGTATCACAACAACGACTCACCCTTGTCATACGAACGGCTCACGGAATCTCAAGAGCAGGTAACATCTGTCCTGGGGCATGTTCGACCTGCTCTTACACGCTCAGGCCAGAGGGAACAAATTGCTTGTGCACCAGAGACCGTTGCCAGCCGGCGAATTGAGCAGCGGCGAGCCGCGGCAATGAAGAAACGCCGACGATGTGCGCAGCGACAACGAATATGAGCGCGAATCTTATAATGGAGAGAGCACGGGGCTATCCTACGAAGGCGCCACGCCCAGCGTCCCTCTCCGCCCTTTTTCTTTGCGATGGAGGCTGTTATGTTGGCGCAGAACTTCAATACCAGCAGTGCCACCTTGGAGGACACATGTAAGGAAAGAGGAAGAGAGAGAGCGAGCGAGTGAGAGAGAGAGAGAGAGAGAAAACATTCTATACATAGAGAGAACGCATAAGGTCTGTGTGAGGTAACAGTACATGCGCTAATGGAAATGGCCTTGCCCGCCTACAATTAACCTCGCTCTGGGCAAACTTGTGCCGAAGATGGGCACGGAAGAAAACCATATGCAATGGATGGATGAGAGCACAAGGACGATGACGAGTACACGTGTACGTACATCAACTACGTGAGCCAAATTATGTATTACCCAGATCCGCCACCGTTCCGTAAGCAATAGGTGGCGTGTCCTCAGGCCCCCCATGGTCCTCCAAGCCCCCCTCTTGATACGCGATGCTCCTTAGAACCACAGACCACTGAAGGCTGGGAGCTTCCGTGGAGTGGCGCGTGACTTCCTCCAGACCTCGCAACTGCGCATGGAAACCTGGAGCTCCGACGTGCGACTAGGTAACCCCGAAGGCTCTTTCTTCGTAGAGCTCTGCTGGCGGGACTCCTGGGCCGTCTTGAAGCCCTCAGGGTAGGCCCAAAGAGTCCAAACGGAGTGAACAGCCTGATCTTTGTTGTCGCAGAATCTGGACGTTCTCCCATTACTGGTTTCCAGAGAGTACTAGACGGCCAAGAGGCCTACAACATTGCCCCGACAGGGCCCCCGAGCCGAGCTCCCAAGAGGGCCCAAAAGGGTGCCCCCCCCCCCATCCTTGAACCTTTCCTAGCAGAAGACCCCCCCTCCTCCTCTTTTCGAGCTCTGGAAGCTACCAGCCCCCGTCCCCCCTCTTGGCACCTCTACAGGAAGGCCCCCCTCCTTTCCCCCATTTCCCATTTCCCCAGTCGACCCCTGCAAGCTGCCCTCTCCTGCACCTTCCCAGTCGAAAGCCCTCCACCCACGGCGACGACGACGCCAGCCGACGACCGCGACGACGCTGGACGCCGACCTCGACGACGACGCCGCCGACGAGGCCGGCCGACGACGACGACGACGACGACGACGACGACGGCGAGGACGATGACGACCACGACGACGCCATTGCCGAACGCGACGACGACGCCAACCGACCGACGACGACGACGAGGACGACTACGACGACGACGATAACGCCAGCCGATGACGACGACAACGACGACAGTGGCGGACGACGACAACAATGACGACGACGACGACGCAGGCCGACGACCACGACGACGAGGATGACGATGACGCCGACCGACGACGAAGACGACGACGACGACAGACGATGACGACGGCGACGACGAACGACGACGACGACGACGACGACGACGACGACGACGACGCCAGCCGACGATGCCGACGACGCTGGCAAACGACACGGGCGCCGGCCGACGACGACGCCGGCCGACGACGCGGACGAAGACGCCGGCCGACGCCGACGACGACGACGACAACGACGACGACGAACTCACCCCCATCCCAATAAATCTCCCGAGCCCGAAGCCCACCCCCTGCAAGTCAACTCCTCATGAATCCCACGGAGATCTCAAGGATGCATCGGGATGTTTATGAACTTCTTTGGATGTGCTCGATCGTATACTGTACTCGATCGTATACTTTGGACAGGAAACGGGCTATTCGACTTTTCTCGTAACGTGGCAAAGCATGGGGGCGGAAACGCATAGTGTTCTATGTGACAACTCAAGGATGCGGAGCAAGTGCAAGTTTACCTTCGTCAGGTGGCAGCGCAAGGAGGCGAAACCATATTAATCCTTCTCTACCCGTCAGTGGGGGGAGGGGGAAGGAGGAGGAGGAGGAGGAGAAGGAGGAGGAGGAGGAGGAGGAGGAGAAGGAGGAGGAGGAGGGGGAGGAGGAGGGACGGGGGAGGGGGAGGGGGAGGAGGAACGGGGAGGGGTAAGGATGAGGTAACAGGCCAAGGGCCTAGAGAAGCGCCCAAGCCAATCTGGCATGGGCGATTCGTTGCGCTTATCCGGGGGCTGAGAACAAGGGTAGACATGCTGCGTGCTTGTGTCCCCTTATGGCCCCACTTGCCACGCAAGTGAATGCACCGCGCGAGGCGAAGGGAGACAGGAGCCCGGGGCAGAGGAGGAGGGGGGAGACGGAGAAGAGGAATATGGGGGAGAGACAAGACAATCTAAATGATACGAAAACGTAACCCCAAACATTGCACCGGCTCCAAACTGGCAGGCACGAAACCCGAATGCACCATCGGCGGCGGCGTGCAATGCTAGGCACATGATGACATTCCCGAAGGACTTACCACCTCCACGAGAAACACGACCCAGGAGGCAGCAAGAAGGAAAAACAAAGCGGGGGGGGTAGACAGAAAGAGCATCAGCTGTGGGAGCGGGGCATTTTGAAGGCAATTGGATGAGGCGCTGGGCCCGCGGGTGGCCCACGACTGCCGCGCGGATATAGCCGTCGAAGGCGGCGGAACACTCGCCGCCTGGGAGTCGATCGCGCCAAGCGCTTTGCACTTTGAACAGCGCGTAAGCACTTCGCGCGCAGAGCGGCCTCGTCAGCAGTGCCCGTGACCGCGCTGGCCTGCAATGCGGAGGCGGTGCACATGCGGGAGGACACCGAGAAAATTGACGAACCAAAACTGCGCCGGGGCTTGCGCGAGGCCGACATTTCTCTGACACAAGGCGTCGAAGTCGACGCGAAAAGCGTCATGTTCAATGCTGTCCTCTCCACGTCTCTAATTAAACAAGTGCCCGCGGTTCTGCTGGAAGCGGCGCCCCGTGCACCAACCATTCCATGCAATGCGGATCTGGCACGCCTGGGCCCGGGGAGGGAGCAGAGGGGCGGAGAAGAGCGACAGAGAATGAGACCAGGCCACAGGGCGGCGACCTGGGGGGACAGAGAGAAGCCATCTCTCCAGGCGCCTCCTCACGTGTGCGGCCATCGAATGACAGGCCACAGCTCGAAACAAACGCGCGGCCCTGGCCCGCCGACCCTCCTTTTGGAAGCTGGCGGGGCTCGAAAAGTCGGAAAGGGAAGGGTCGATGGGGGGGGCCTCTTCAGCCGAAGTCAACGCGGCGGTGGCGGCCTGCAAGTGGAAGTAAGAGCAATCAATCATGGGCGAAGGAAGGGAAATGTGTTGCCCGCCAGCCGCGCGAGCCTCAAAAGGTCGCGGGCTCGCCGTCGGACACGGAAGCCCTCTTGAGCCGCGTGTTCGAAACGCGCCACGCGCGCCTGGGCAGCCATCGCCATGCTCGGGGTGTCCGGCAAAGCCAATGGGAAATGGTCAGACCGCAAATCCTTCAACGCCTCCTCCGTGATCAAATGCGCGGGGCCCCAGAACAGGGCCGCGCAAGCCTGCCCCTCCGCGCGGTAAAAATCAGCTGGTAACGGGAGGAGCTGAGAGACTTAAGCTGAGGGCGGACGACATTTGCACCTGGAGCGCCAAGATCGATTGCAACATGCCGATGCCCAACTGACCCCGCTGCGAAGCCCGGTTCTCGAACCTCTTTGAACGCACTGTCCAAGAGAAGTTACCCCGTTCCTGGCCCGGCCACCATGCCCAGGCACTTCGCCTTCCCAGCGATGGGGAAGGAACCCTACAGCGGCGCCTATTGCACCAGTCGCGCCTGGACGGCATCGCGGCTGTTGAAGAAGTGCGCGGGCACCAAAACCGTTTTGCGGACATCCAGCTGGGCCCCCGAGATCCGCGCGAACTCCTCGAAGACATACTGGGCCGCCCCAGTATGGCGGAATAGTCGGACGTCCACCAGAGCAGTGTCATCGGCATTTGCACGAACCGAAGCAGAAGGCACAAGGCGATCCAGCCTGCGAAGGCGAATGTCGGATGCCACCGCGAACAGCAGGGGCGACAGGGGACAGCCCTGGCGGACTGTGCGCTTCAGCTGGAAACCTTCGTGCCGCGAGCCGCAAAGCACATTGGAGCGTTGGTTGCGGGTGTGCAATCAGGCCACGAGGTTGAGTAGCCACCTGGGGACAGTTCAGCCGCCGGAAGAACTGGAACACCATGTCGTGCTCGAATGAGGGAATGGCCGCGGCGAAGTCGAAGAAGAGGTCGGCGCCCCCATCCGACGTGCACGCGCTGGTTGCCATCGCTTCCCCCACGCCCATTTTGCCAACATGCTCGGGCCAGCGAAGACACTCTGCTGTGTCCATATCATTTTTGGGCCGAAGATGTGCTCGATGACGTAACGGGCAGCGAGGGCTACTTTTCGGTTGCCGGTGTTTGTGACAGACACGGGGCCGGCGCACTCCGTTGGATAGTACCCCCTTCCAATGGACAGCGTCCCGGCGGCTGTCCCGGGCAGCAGGAAGAAGATGGCTGGCGCCGACATTGGCCCACCCCTCCTCGATTATTTTGCCGTTGGGGTCGTTCATGAGAACTGTGACCGCGTCGAAGAAAATCGTCGCATCGCAGAGAGGTCTGGGCATCGCCACCATGCCGCGAAGCTGATGCCGTCGGGGCCAGAGAGGATTTGTTCGAGTGCTTGATCGCGCAGCGAGAATGGCGCTTGCGCACCTGGAAAACTGGGGACGCATCAAATGCTACGTCGTGCGACTCGTGTTTCTGCGCGCCCTCGTGCAGCCACTGTTCCAACAGGTGCAGGTCGACGCCGCGGTAGGTGAATATCGTGGCCCTGTGATTCCGGAGCTCCGCGGCCATCGCAGCAAGGTCGGTGAGAATTTGGTCGCTCTTTAGCATGACGGCAGAGGGACCCCCAGCCGTGCCTGGGACAAGGCAGGCGGCTCAAGAGGCGCATTTGCTTCTGCCGAGTTTGCGTTGCCAGGCAGTGGTCAGAGCAGGCGAAGTCGGCGTGGGATTTGCGCAGCTAGTCCAACGCGTGCTCCCGGGCCATTTCCACCGCGTGCTCCTTGGCTAATATGTCTGATTCTGCTCTTCTGCTTTACAATGGCGTCAACGCGCGACGACGACAATGAACACGACGAGGAGGACGACGCCAGCGGCGACGACAAAAGCGACAACGACGACGACGACGACAAGAAGCACGACGACGCAAACGACAACAACGACGACGATGACGACGAATACAATGACGAGGACGACAACAACAACGACGACGAAGACGAGAACGACGACAACAACGACGACACTGTGCGCACATCCATAAGAATGGGGGGAAGAGGGGGGGAGCTTCTGAAGGCCCAACCCCCCTGCAAAGATCAGCCCGTGCTTACCCCAAGCCCCGAAAAGGGGGTTGAGAGGGCAGTAGCTTTGGAAGACACTCCCTGCATGACCGGCGACCTCCTGCTTCGCAAAGTGGGGGGAGGGAGGTAGCTTCCAAGGCCCCCCATCCACCTTCGAAAAGTAAGCCTGGGTCCCTCCTGGAAGCTTAGGGGGGGTCCTATCTCCCGAAGCCGCCCCCCACCCTTTGCAACAAGGGGAGGGAAGTATCCGAGCTTATCAAAATGGGAGGGGGGGGACTTCGGAAGTCCCCCCCCTTCAAAGGCCAGCCCCAGTATCCCAAGGACGGGGGGTGAGGTGGCAGCTTCGGAAGCCTCTCTCACCTCATGGAAGGAGGGGGGAGGGTCTTCGTGTCGCCCACAGCACTCTCTTTCCTATAAACACACATGCACATGCATATGAATATACATATATATATATATGCATGCATACGTACATCCACACATACAGACATACATGAATACACACATACATACATACATACATACATACATACATACATACATACATACATACATACATACATACATACATACATACACACATACATACATACATACATACATACATACATGCATGCATGCATGCATCCATGCATGCATGCATACATACATACATACATACACACATACACACATACAAACATACATACATACATGCATGCATGCATACATGCATACTTACTTACATACTTACTTACTTACATACATACGTGCATGCATCCATGTATGCATACATACGTAAATACAGACACGCATGGACACATGCATATACACGTACATACATACGTATGTATGAGCACACATACATATATACATGCATGCATGCATACATGTTTACATATGTATATATACACATGTATGTATTTATATATCAATAAGTATATATATATATATATATCGGAGGTTTGGGGGGTGATATCGAAGAGGAACGGAGAGCCCCCACCGGGAAACCGGCTTCGGTTTCGGGTTTGTGTCGCGCGTGCGTGCGAGGCGGAGCTGCGTGGGCGGGCGAGAGGAATGACTCCGCTGCTGGTAGGGCGGGGCGGAACAGTTGTCCGAAATCCCCTGATGGGAGGGGGGCGGTGGCCGGGTTGTCCCGCCGCGGTGTCCCGTCGGTGTCTTTGTGGTGTCCTGTCCGTGTCCAGTCGGTGCCCCGTCGGTGTCCCGTCGGTGTCCCGATTGGTGTCCCGTCGGTGTCCCGATTGGTGTCCCGTCGGTGTCCCGATTGGTGCCCCGATCGGTGCCCTGATGCCGTCCTGGTGGTGTTTCGATGGTGTCTCGATGGTGTCCTGGTGGTGTACCCACAGGTGCCCCGAGTGGTGATCCGATGTTGTCCTGATGGCGTCTGAGTGGTGACTGCAGGGTGCCCTGTTATACCGACGGCGCCCCGGTGGTGTCCCGATCGTAGAAAGGTAGTTTCCAGCATCGCTAATGAAATCGATCGTGAAACATGGGGGTATCGTGGAGAACCCGATGCGCAAACTGTCCCGTCGGTGTTCCGTCGGTGTTCCGTCGGTGTCCCGTCAATGTCCCGTCGGTGTCCCGTCGGTGTCCCGTCGGTGTCCCGTCGGTGTCCCGTCGGTGTCCCGTCGGTGCCCCGTCGGTATCCCTTCGGTGTCCCGTCGGTGTCACGTCAGTGCCCCGTCGGTGACCCGTCGGTCCCGTCGGTGTCCCGTCGGTGTCCCGTCGGTGTCCCGATTAGTGTCCCGATTGGTGTTCCGATGGTGTGTCGATGGTGTGTCGATGGTGTCCTGGTGGTGCCCATAATGAGACATGGGGGGTGAGATCGCAGAGAGCCCGGTACGCCAAACGGTTTTCAATTTCACCATCAACGCCCACAGGATCAACAGTGATTGGAGGTTGGAGGGTGAGATCGCAATAAGACGGAGAAACCCCAACGGAAAATCGGTTTCGGTTTCGTGTTCGTGTCGTGCGTGCGGGCGAGACGAAGCTGCGTAGGCGCGCGAAAGGAATGATCCCGCCGTCGCTAGGGCGATTCGGGATGCGTAAGTCAGGCCCTCCTGTGGGCGCGCGGTGGCTATCCCGCCGTAGTGTCTCGCGGTGTCCTGATGGTGTGCCGTGTCGCGGTGTCCTCGTAGTGTCTCGCGGTGTCTCGCCGTGGTCGCGCGACAAGAATGATCCCGCCGTCGCTGGGGCGATTCGGATGCAAAAGTCTGGCCTTCCGGTGGGCGCGCGGTGGTTGGGGGTGTCCCGCCGTGGTGTTCCGTATTGTCCCGATGGTGTCCCGCGGTGTCCCGCCGTGGTGTCCCGATGGTGTCTCGAAGTGTTCCGTGGTGTCCCGTGGTGTCCCTCGGTATCCCAGTGGTGTGACGCGGTGTTCCGTGGTGTCCAGTGGTGTCCCGCCGTGGTGTCCCGATGGTGTCCCGATCGATAGTGAAATCCATCACGACCGAGATGTGTTGAGTTCGGTAAAGAGATCGATAGTTGGATCGGTAGTGAGGTCGATCGTGAGATCGATAATTGCCTCGACCGTGCGAGCGGCAGTGAGATCGATAGTGAGATCGATCGTTAGATCGATAGTGCAAAGGTCGAAAGAGCGATCGATTGCTAGATCGGCAGTGAGATCGATACTGGGAACGATTGTGAGCTCAATTGTGAGATCGATTGAGATCGCTGCAGAAACCATATGCAAAGTCGATCGTGAGGAAACCATCGCATCGCCATCAACACTCAACCTCCACAGTCAGCCAGCATCCATCACAGCGCAGTGGCGGTGGCACTGATTTGGCTTGATGGTGTCCCGATGGTGTCCCGATCGTGCTTAGCACCACCGTGTGAGATCGCCAACGAGATCGATCGCTGGATTCATCGACACTAAGACTGGCCGAGAGGTCGAAAGTGAGATTGATCGAGTGAGATCGATCGCGGGAACGACTGTGGCATCGCATCGCGGCGCAACATCGTCATCGCGCGTCGTCGCCAACTCGAGGGCGCGCCACAAACATCGTCATCACCACACCCATCGCAGTTGCCAGCAATTTATGATTTCCCTCCCCCCCCAAACCTCCTTATCACCCGATGGGTAGTCGAATCTATATCTATGTATATATATAGATATGTATACACCCAGACCATATGACGCCTCGACTCTTTCAGTACAGTCATCGTACCACCATAGGGAACACCGAGTACGGAACCACGGGGCTTGGTTGTTCTTAGATGTGTCCTGGGTATGGTTTACAGTTCTTATTTCGGCATCTTAGAAAGCCTTGTTTTAGCGTCTTGAGGCCCCAACAACAAATAGAAACGCTAGAAGAACGATCCGATGTTTCTAGCGGTTTGAGCACAATTGGTTGAGCGGTTTCGAATCAGTTGGTTGCGCAGTTTAACGTTGCTGTCTACCACGTCCTTAGTTCTTTATCCTTGCGTCCAGTCCCCCCTTATGCTTGTAATATAATCATGTTGCTCTTCTCTGGTCGTCGCTGCTGGCTGGTCGCGGGGCCTCCAGGCTTGTTCCGCGCCAGTGTTAGACATCTGTAAGGGTCTTTTTGGATATTTTTTAGCTATGCTCTCTGCGCGAGAAGCGGGAGGAACGGAAGGCGGCAAGAACAGGACAGCGGAAGCGAAGACGGTAATGAAGATAAAGAGCAGACTTTGACAAGAAGGCACAACTCGCTGAAACAAAAAACGCACAGCGACGGGACTGACGAAAGCTAACAAAACGTAGCGTGCTTCCTGCGATCGTTTTACCCTGTCAAGAGCCCAAATTGAAAAATGGTAAAGCAACAAAAAACGCGCAGGGCGTTTTCAAGAAGAAACATGCCAAAAGGTGTTCCTGGCCGCAGCGAGCCTCGGTCACGAATCGGCTCCATGACCTCAACCTCAGGAACGGCCCGAAAACCAGAGCCCCTCCTGATACAAACGTGGTCCTCATTTCAACGTCCTGGCAATACAGGGCGCCAAGAAATCCCGACCCTTTACCCGTGGCTGGGTGTCCATGCCGAACCGTTCTCTGATAGCCCCGAAGCCCGAAGCGAGCCCCCGGAAGCCGAGAACGATGAGAAATCGCCGTGCTGATCTTTTCGGTAACGTTGTATGCATGGGTATTCTGGCGGTGGGCGATCGAAAGTTCCGAAGGCGAGGCTGGAGGCCTCTGAAGTGGGGCCAGGGTAATTCGATAGGGTCGCGCGCTGCATCGGTGATACATTGGCGACGCTGGGATGAAGAAGCTCAGTCTTAGAATTGCGCCGCATCGCCGATCATCGGCGGTGCGGCAAGACCCTCCGACCTCATCAATTCCAGCCCAATTTGGGAGGCCTGGAAAGAAGAGGATCGGAGCGAGAATCAAGCAACACCGCTCGCCTAAATACGGCGTGTTCATGTCGTGACGCCGTGGGCATTGGTCTCTGAAGCCGCGTACTTCGTTCGGCCTTGAAGTATGTGCGGCTTTCCGATCGCCAGATCGTTCCGCGTTAGCCGATTCTGCGCGGCGGGCGGCGCTCAGCCCAGACATGCCATCCTTGATTTTTCCTGGAACGACCCCCAGAGGTCTCGATCCCTTCCCCAAGGCCGGTTCTTCATCCCGGCTCGTCTGTTGACAATCCCGAGGCCCAGCGAGGGCCCCCAAAGGCCAAAAACTGTCAAACACCTCTGGTCGTCACCTTTTCCGCGACGCGAGCATGCCTGGAAACCTTCAACGCCCACGGCGGGGTCGCTGCTGCGCCGACACGACGCAAGCCGACCGTGCCTCTGGCTGGCCAGCGCCCCGCCCCATAGCGCGAGGGCAAAGCAGCGGCGAAAGCCGCAACGGCCTTGGCGGTCGCGGGCACGGGGTTGGACGCGTCTTTCTCCGGCGGCGCCTCGGCGCGGTACCCGCTCGGCAGGTGCATGGGCTGGCGGCTGGCTTCCTACACGCCCGCGCCGTGAAAAACACGGCGGTCCTCTAGCTGGGCCTCAACACCGCCAAAAAACTGGATGAAAAGCCGGCCCCAAAAGGCCGGCACTTCTGGAGGGCGCGCATTGCAGAGATCAAGTCGTCGCAATTCTGGGGGCCGACCCCTTCCACGTGGATCGTTCGACCTTTCGCGATCGCGGCTTTCCGACATCACAAATCGTTCGAATCGTTCGACACCCGTCGATTCTGGGCAGCTGGCGTCGCTCAGCGCGGAATGCCCGAGCCGGTGCCAAGCCAACCTCTTCGGCGACGAGCTCCTGCCGTGACGAGCCCATCGCCCTCGAAGCCCCCCTCTGCCCCCCCTCGGCCCGCCTCCTCACGTCTTGGAGCGAGGGCGAGCGCTGGGGGTCGTCACGGCAGGGGTCGGCCTGCCCGGTGCCAATCCCCTGATGGCTACGGTGGGTGCGCGTCGTCAAGGCGTCGGCGTAGGCTCCCGGCACCGCGTGGGCCACGGCAGCGGGGCTGTGTGAACCCGTCTCGGGCGCCTCAACTGGCACCCGTTCACTATGCAGGGGCCGGCTGCGGCAAGATCAACCGATATCGGATCGGGAAACCGGGTCGCGTCCGACTGCGCGCCGGATCGGGCTGCATCGGCGCAGAGTCGGAATCGAATCGGATCGGCTGCGCCAGCACGCACAAGAATACTCTGCGAACATCGGGCCACATCGGATCGTCGGAATGTCGGAATCAAACGGGATCGAACCAAACCGATATCAAATATGATCGATCAGATCTCCCAACAGCACAGATAGTGCCACATCTGTCTGTTCTGTGCAGCAGGTGGCGTCGAACGGCCAAGAATGCCCGCGCAGGAGCCGCCGCCGCGACGACGCAGCTCGAACCTGCCGTTCCCATCCCTCCGTCGCGTTTGCCCCAGCTCGAAGCTCTAATCCGTCTTTTTTCGACCATCGTCGGGGGGACGCTGGGTCCTTGCGCTGGGAGCACGCTGTCGCGAGGAGGGGATTGCCCCGCCGCCGGATGCACATTCAGCGGAATCAGGCTCTGAGCAAGGGGCTGCTTGAG